AAAAAATGATTTTGCGGGCACTTCTATAAATGACGTAATTTTCCCACGGAATATCCTGATGACACGTTACATGATTTGTAAAGACGAGTCTCTCTTAGCTTAAGCCTAGGAAATTGAATAGGTTCTGGTGTTCTTGTGTAGGCCATACATAATAATTCATATGCTTACAAAATCCAATGTAAAATTGCAAGTCATAAACATGTTGTTGGACTTACGAATTAGATTTTCGCTTAACCTTCACCATCACCGGGGACAGCAAATAATCAAAAATAAAGAGGCTCAACAAAATTACGTGTATAAAGAGACTGGAGGGAGGGGGAGGTTAAGGGAGGTGGGCATCAAATTTATAGTAAGTACATTCGACCTTTTTGGTCCATGCCATGCCATCGGCCGGCGGCACAGGTAATCTGCGGGGGCCAGCAACTCCCCCGACCTCACTCCCACATCACAGCGAAAGAACCTTGTCGTTTTTGTTCACCCGACCAGAATGTACCCCCAGTAAGGCCCCAGCAAGCGATCATGCGTCATCAGATGAAGATCGTTTTTAATGCGGCAATGCACGTTTCGTTAAAGTGCGCTTCAAAGGTACATTTCTGGCGCATTTAATGCGCTTAATGAACATTGCGCTAGGTACCATTGAGGATAGAAACTTGTTCTACCTAACACGGTTGGTGCTTGCTATTCAAATCTTTAAATTGTTCACTGTACATAAGGATTATCAGCAGTGAGAACGCATTCTTTAGTTCGGCACAGGTTCGGCGCACAGGTCAGTAAGCAATACAGAGTGCTTTTGCAGACTTCCAGCCAATTGCTTTGTCGGCTCATCGGCCCCGCCAGCGTTGTGCTCTCGCCGGTAAAGCAAAGTGTTTCCATCACTTTGTTTGCCAAAATTCCTTTTTTTGTAAATTGCTGAAAGGAGAGTATGCGCTGCTGGTTGATATCGAGTTCCGACAGAAGGTAACTAGATTGTGCGGCATTTTAACCCGCCGGACCCAGGGGCAGGCAAGAGGCGAGGGGGCACTGCCACTGCTGGGATCCAGACAAGGCGAGCTGGACGCGGGCCAAGCTAGCGCGATGGGTCTCATCTGAGCCTCTGAGCGCGGTTGCTTTTGGTATCTCCACTTTAAAAAAAATGCATATATTGAGTAAATCTCGACAAGGTATTCATTTCCCCGAACTAGGTGCTTGGGGTTCTTACGTGCATTAATACAAGGAGTAGAAAAACACGTTCTAAAATGGTACAGTTTATATATTCCCGTAAACTTTCCTCGCGCTAATAATACGGTCTCACTTACATGTACACGCCTGCTTGCGTCTCATGTAGAACAAGCTACGCGGGCTGCGAGCGAGTCATGCGAACCTTACTGAGCGGCTGCCCCCGGGGGTACATCACCTGTCTCTCTCGCTCGCACGCGAGAATGACAAGGAGGCCGGGGTGGAGGGGGTTGCGCGCCCGTCTGTAGTTCGGACTCGCTACAACTCTTCCTTGACGGCGAGAGGCGAGAGAGGTCTATTACCTCGTTACGTCTTACCAGCTTGACATTAAGCAGATAGATAGTGAAGGCACGGAAAACATCGGAACACAGTTGAGTTTTACCCCTTAAAAATGGAAATGTATATTATTTTTTTAACCGGGGGAGAAGATTCACTACACTCCGCTCTCTCCATTTCCACCCCCTTCCGCCCCCACTTGCCTCGAGAAATCCTCCCCCCTCTCAACCCTCCACGTTTCCCTAAGCCCCACAACGCAGGCAAACCAGGTTGGCCTAAGGGAGCAGTTAAAACTTTAGGGGATGTTTGGCTGTGTTGCGCTGCGGTTGTACGAAGCAAGCACAGATCCAGGCGCAGAGAGTAGCAATGCATGTTGTACGCCATACCTGAGCGCTGCTGTCACGGCCCGCCCGGGTGGTGGGGAGGTGCCCCAACTGGGCGCGCTGTGGAGAACACGTGTAGCTCCTCTGGGATCACAAATTTCGTCTGAAAGGTAAAGAACGAAAGTTGAATAAATTCAATTGGGTGTATGTCAACACTTAAAAATTACAACAGTAAAAAACTGGACTGGTAATTTTGAAAACAGAGTAATCCTGTAGGTTGCACGTTACTTTATTCTGGAGGAAAGACGTTCTTTTCAAACAACAAGTCTATCCCTCAAATACCAGTCGAACAGATTTTGACCGTAGTATGGAAGTACAGGACAATATGTAAGTACAAATTCTGTTTCTGGGTACAGAAGTTTTAACAGTGAACTGTTTCCAGTGGGAGGAGTTCGACTCGACAGCGCCATCACCCGACGTCCGGTGGAACTCTGTTCGACAACCTAAGTTCCCGATCAGGGCCATCCCTCGGCGAGCGTTGGTACTCCGTTTCCGTCAAGCCTAAATGTTGAGATGAAAAGTCTAGATTACTTTTGGTAGTTTTAATTGCATTGCTTTTTCTTCTGTTGTTAGACATGCAACATGCTCTTAAATTTAAACACATCGTGAACAAGAAAAAGTAGTTTAATTTTCAAATTAAATAGTCCTGAGCCAGACAAATAACAAATCAAAACAATAACAGAACGGAGCTACGAGCTACATGTACGCTAGACTGTACCCTTTTTCCCATCGACCCCCGTAATGCCTTTTAAAGGGTATTAAATTATAATGCCACATTGGCAAGGCAGATTACAAACAAACACGTCTGAAAGGATCAAATTTAGCATTTTGGATAGTTTTAATGCCTTCCTGGGGAGGCTCAACTTTAATACCATTGCAAAGGGATTCAAATCCTTTCGGTCCTACTTTTGTATTTTCAGTGTACCTTATCTCGTGAACCAAGAGGTAGAGGATAGTGAAAGAGATGTAGCTAAATCGAAACCGAGCGCCCAAAGACCATATAGTCCGAGCGGTTGCCTGCTGGTTCTTCATCCTATACCGACACGAGCCCGTCACGGTCGTCACGGTCCGTCACGCGCGTTCTCTGAAATCCCCTTTCCGGGAGCTTTTTCTTTGTGGCTCGCCTTCCCCGTCCACCACCCTCTCCCGGCAGCTTTAATTACCAGCTCCGCCTGGAAATGCAAAATGGAAACGAACAAAGGGCAACGCGACGCGACACACGGGCCGTGACAGAGAGGGACAATAACAGACAACAGACCGGGACAAAAGACGGGGTGAGAGAGAGAGAGAGAGAGAGAGAGTGAGAGAGAGAGTGAGTGAGTGAGTGAGAGAGAGAGAGCACGCGCGCGAGGGAGGGTGGATGGGATGTCCAGCTCGTCACGCAATCCGCTTCCTGGTGACAGCGCGCTCGCTCGTGGTGCTTGGGTCCGTCGGCCCGGGCCTACCAGAGACTCGTCCGTTCTGCAAATTAAAAGCGTTGGCAAGCCGCCCCCTCACTGCCCCCGCCTCCCACCGACCCCCGCCTCGCAAAAAAAAACAAAGAAACAAAACACCAACAGTTGTCCAGCTCCGAAATGTATTCAAAATTCTTACGACATTAAAATGACTGGAATGAGCGCTCCCCCCCGGGGAGCCACCTACGCCCCTCACCCTCGCTCCAGCTGGTGCCCTTCCAGCGGCCCCCCGCCCAGCCACGGACCGCGCGCTCAGCCAGGCGCGTCGCACCCTCTCAGACACCGGAAGGCAGCACCCCCGGGGGGCCGCGCCGGCCGGGCCGCGTCCGCAGCGCTGCACTCCGGCGCTCCTCGCGGGCGCCGCGTTCGGGCCGCGCGCCCTGGCACTCCGGAGGCGTCCCCAGCGCCCCGCACCCCCAACCCCTCGCCCCCGGCAATGGACGTTTTTCCTGCCCCGCGGCAGTCTCGTCAACATTTCCGCCCTCCACATGTTACATGGGCGTCGGGCATCCGACAGCACCAGTTTGACGGGGAAGGGGAGGGGGAGGGATGGGAAAGGGGCGGGAAGGTCGTCTGTTGCGGCCCTGCCGGCCAGGATAGGTTCAACACCCGAGGTTGGCCAAGCCAGACAAACTCCTGTTGAGGGATTCAGCGACGACGTAAACTTAATTGCGATCTCTGAAGCAGGTTATTAGTTCTGTCACAGTCACACACGCGCACACACGCATAGAGCAAGATTCGCGTCACTTATTTCACTTACCACCATTCGAGTTGCTTTTACTTCTTGTTTTTTATTTATTTTCCCGACACAATATAGTAGACGAAAGTCACACACACTTGAACTTGTGGACACACACGACGGCCGTCCCAAATTCAAATTAATGCCCTTGTCCTTGTGGTATACCGGCGGTAGTGTAGTGGTGTGGGGTCTCACGTGTGAATGTGTGTGTGTGAGAGGGGAGGGGGTGGCTAGTGGGGGAGGGTGCTTAGTTTCGCACAGGCGTTTCAATTAAGCGGCGCGTTTCCTCACCTCGGCTCCCGCCGCTCCCGCCCGCTCCCGCTGCGCTGCTTTACATACGAGGGTCAGCTTCCCCCCAGACACGGAACAGACCCCCGGGTAGCCGGCCGCTGCCTCGGGGGAGCCGCGCGCCGGGCCGGACCGGACCCCGGCAGAAGCGCCACTGGGTTGTTGCCGGTCCATGAATTTTAAGCTTCCACGACGGGACGCGGGGCGGCGGTGGTGGGGAGAGTGGGGCGGGTATACGACTGCCCAGTCCGGCAGTGACGTGCTAAACAACCCGCTCCAAGGGCAGACCAGGCACCGAGAGAGAGAGAGAGAGAGAGAGAGAGAGAGAGAGAGAGAGAGAGAGAGAAGAAGAAGAAGAAGAAGAAGAAGAAGAAGAAGAAGAAGAAGAAGAAGAGAGGAATGGGGCGCCCCAGATCTGGGCACGCGGCTTCAAAACAAAAGGCTTGGGGATTATCACCACTTACTTCCTCCATCCATAAATGCGGGTTCGAGAGCTTGCTATAGTGGGTACGTCTTTCCAAATGCTTTGAAATAATTTCGAGGATGGGATATTATGTTTGTTACGCGGAAACATTGATATATCGTGCTGAGATGAGGCCCACTCTCTCTCTCTCCACTGCCGAGGAGCGGAGAGATACCGAAAGAAGAACGGGGGAGAGAGAAAGAGATGAAAGAAGGGAGAGAGAGAGAGGGGGGAGAGAGAGGGGGGAGAGAGAGAGAGAGAGAGAGAGAGAGAGAGAGAGAGGGGGGGAGAGAGAGAGAGAGAGAGAGAGAGAGAGAGAGAGAGAGGTGGAGGGACCGAGAGACAAAGTCGGAGAGGAGTTTGGAGATGAGATGAAGACGTGGGGGAGCGCTAACGGGACGGGGAGGGAAAGGTGTGCGTTTCCTAACAAAGCACGCGAGTCCCAGCGGGGCGGGGGGCCCACCCCCCTGGACCAGCCGGGGCTCGGCTCATCTCCTTAACTTTCATTGGCTTAGGAAAAGTTTGGCATCCCACCGCGGGCGCACCACCACCGCGCCCCCGCCCCGCCCATGGGCCGTGGGCCAGACGTGCTTGGTGGCCGCAGCACGGGGGGCTCGCGGCGGCCACCATGCCATGGGCCACATTAAGGGGGCACGAAGTGAATTGGTGAAGTACCCACCGGTACCGGCTACCCCTCCCTCGGCCTCGGCACACGGCCTGATACCACGTTAGCGACGTTAGCACTGTATGTTGGGATCATAAATTGTTCCGATGCGCACTTTCCTTTGCGGAATAATTTACCGGTGCCTAATAGCGTGAATGGTGGTGGCTCATGAGCCTCTTCCTCTCCTCCTCTCCTCCCCCTCTATTCATCTCTCTCTCTCTCTCATTCTGGGCCTTTACCTTTCAAGCCGGTCAAGCCTTTCTCTCTCACTCTCTCACTCTCCATCTGGCGACCAAGAGGGTGGTTAGTCTCCCCGTATTACCAATTCTAGGTTCCAGACTTAGTCTTAACAAACGCAGAGAGAATTTTCAATTTTGTTGAAGCAATGCGAAGCTAAAGAGTACAATCTGGGGTGTCCGGGAAGTGCACTGGTAAATAAACACTACAGTTTAACAACAGTTTGAAAGTGCTAGTTATTAACGATTTAAAACTTCTAACTTCGTATATTTTAAATTGTAGGGTAACACGAAAGCGAAAGTACAGTTTTAAACTGTTACTTTTAAGAACGACGTCGATTTTAAAAGTAATAGCTATAGGTTCTAATTACAGTGTGGGTGACTTAAGTGACCTGACCCAAGAATTCAGAAAACTGAGTTGAGCCATCTACTGGACACCTTATAATAGTTTCCAGGGTATAGCTAAAGTAAAGTCGATATTTAATTACGATTACAACAAACAGAGTGATTTTCAGAGGTGGTGAGGCGTCAGAGAAGGGAAGAGGTTTCACGACTCGCTCCCTTTTAGAAAGCAAAACAACAAGAAAAAGTACAGGATCAAAAAGGTAGAGGCTGCTGGAGAAGGGAAAAGTTTTTTTTTTTTTTTACTGAGTAGTCCGGTCCGTTGCTCACTGGGTCTTCCTCTTTTAATGACACGTTGCCCAACTTACTCCGCTTTGGGCGACCACCGCCGGCCGCTACGGCCCACCTCGGACCTCGGCCGGCGTAGTGTTGTGATTCCGGACAAGCCCAGCCCAGCCCCGCCCCGTTCGACTTCGGAAAGCCAACTCTGGAGCACCACCAACTTGGAACCGGACCAAATGTGCAACAGCGTGCCTAGCCATGTCCGACTGGACCAACAGCCGAGCCGAAAAAACAAAATAAAAGAATAAAACTCGGATGGGGAAAAAATATGTTGCAATGAGGAAAAGGGAAAAGTAAAACTAGCGCACAGAGTGACGTCCGTCTCATGCACCGGTCAGAAACAAAAGCAACAACTTTCATCCGACTTTATGGGAAGCTTCCGGTTCAGAGTGCAAAGGGGTACTCTACATGCAGGCCTCTTCCTAATCAGTCTGGATAGGCCGTTTTCATTGCCCCCCAGAAAAACATAATTAAAATAACTTTTTCCCAAGTACGGCAGCCGGCTGGGGGCTGTCTCACCCCCAGCCTTAATTCAATTTCCTGTTTTGACCGGCAGCTGACTACAAAGTGGCGCTAT